AAACCTGGGATAGACAACATAGGATGAAAGGGCAGAGTTTAATTTAGTATGAAAAGGAAGGTATAAGGCAAGAGAAGTGCATATAGCTGGTAAACTCCAGGATTTCAACCTCTCCTGCTGAAATAGTTGTGAGGAAAGGGAAAGAGAATTTTAAAGGGCAAGGTAATCACTTGGAACAGCCTATCCGGGTTATGAACCAAACAGCTAATGAAGGAGAAAGAGGAATGTTCTCTTAACGTTGATCAAGCCAGAGGGCATAGTTATGTAATGAGCCAGGTCTGTTTACTTCCAGGATTCTCTCTAAACCTCATCAGTTATAAAACTGAAGAAAGCAGCCGGGCATGGTGGCTCACGCCTGTAATCCCAGCACTTTGGGAGACCAAGGCAGGTGGATCACAAGGTCAGGAGTTCAAGACCAGTCTGGCCAATATGGTGAAACCCCATCTCTACTAAAAATACAAAAATCAGCTGGGCGTGGTGGTGGGCATCTGTAGTCCCAGCTACTCAGGAGACTGAGGCAGGAGAATAACTTGAACCTGGGAGGCAGAGCTTGCAGTGAGCCGAGATTATACCACAGCACTCCAGCCTGGGTGACAGAGCCAGACTTGGTCTCAAAAAAAAAAAAAAAAAAAAGAAACAAACAAAAAAAACTGAAGAAAGCAAATGGTCTAAGTTGACAGGCCAAGAAGGGGGCTTGAGAGCTACCTTTTTTTTTTTTTTTTTTGAGACAGGATCTCACTCTGTCACACAAGCTGGAGTGTAGTGCATAATCATGGCTCACTGCAGTCTCAACCTCCCAGTCTCAAGCAAGCCTCCTGCCTCAGCCTCCTAAGTAGCTGGGACTACAGGTGTGCACCACCACACCCAGCTAATTTTTGTATTTTTTGTAGAGACAAGGTCACACTATGTTGTCCAGGCTGGTCTTGAACTATTTGCCTCAGGCAATCCTCTTGCATCAGCCTCCCAAAGTGCTGGTATTATAGGCGTGAGCCATCACACCTGGCTAAAAAACCACTTTATGGTGATAAAAGATAAAGTGGTTACCTAGAAAGAGGGTAGGGTGGGATTGACTAGAAAAGGCCACCTAGAGATATTCTGGGGATTTCGGTGTTTGAGATCGTGTTTAGGGTGATGGTTACAAGTGAGTATACTCAAAATTCAGTGAATTGAATGCTTAAGAATTGTGCATTTTGGCTGGGCACAGTGGCTCACGCCTGTAATCCCAGCACTTTGGGAGGCCAATGCGGGCAGATCACCTGAGGTCCAGAGTTCAAGACCAGCCTGACCAGCATGGAGAAAACCCATCTCTATTAAAAATACAAAATTAGCCAGGTATGGTGGTGCATGCCCATAATCCCAGCTACTTGTGAGGCTGAGGCAGGAGAATCACTTGAACCCGGGAGGCAGAGGTTGTGGTGAGCCGAGATCGTGCGATTGCACTCCAGCCTGGGCAACAAGAGCGAAACTCCATCTCATAAATAAATAAATAAATAAATAAATAAATAAAATAAAGACTATTCCAGTCGGGTGCGGTGGCTCACGACTATAATCCCAGCACTTTGAGAGGCTGAGGTGGGCAGATTACCTGAGGTTGGGAGTTCGAGACCAGCCTGACCAACACAGAGAAATCCCATCTCTACTAAAAATACAAAATTAGCAGGACGTGGTGGCACATGCCTGTAATCCCAACTACTCGGGAAGCTGAGGCAGGAGAATCACTTGAACCCGGGAGGCAGAGGCTGCAGTGAGCTGAGATCGCCCCATTGCACTCCAGCCTGGGCAACAAGAGCGAAACTCTGTCTCAAAAAAAAAAAAAAAAGACGATTCCAACTGGCCCACTATCCTACAAGTGTACCTTTTTTTTTTTTTTTTTTTTTTTTTTTTTTTTTTTTTTTGAGACGGAGTCTCTCTGTGTCTCCCAGGCTGGAGTGCAGTGGCGTGATCTCGGCTCACTGCAAGCTCCGCCTCCCGGGTTCACGCCATTCTCCCGCCTCAGCCTCCCAAGTAGCTGAGACTACAGGCGCCCGCCACCACGCCCGGCTAATTTTTTTTTTTTTTTTTTTTTTGTATTTTTAGTAGAGACGGGGTTTCACCATGTTAGCCAGGATAGTCTCGATCTCCTGACCTCGTGATCCACCCGCCTCGGCCTCCCAAAGTGCTGGGATTACAGGCTTGAGCCACCGCGCCCGGCCACAAGTGTACCTTAATGGCGAGTTTGTGGGGGGCTGTGACATTCTTATGCATATGCACTAGAATGGGTACCTGATGGAAGAACTGAAAAAGTTGGGGATCCATTCTGCCCTTTTAGATGAAAAGAAAGACCAAGACTCCAAGTGAGGGCGCCTGGGCCTCACTGAACAGAGAGAGGGCCTGTTCATGTCAGAGACTCCCTGCCAGAAAAGCCTTACCGATTTTGGTTTTCATTACTGAGACAACAACTGCTTGCACTGATCATTTCAGTTCATGAGCAGTCTGGTGATTTTAGTTTGTCTGGTGTTTGGGTTAAGACTATTTTACTGTGAATTTAATTACAACCACTGCATTGTAATTAATGCTATATTATGATATTATTGTAAACAAAATTCATTCTTATATTGTCATTTATTCTTTGTCCGATTCAGGAGTTAAACTAGGAGCTTTGAAATCATTATTATTCATGACCCCTCTGCAAATGTGTCAGTCTGCAAAGACAGTATCTCCCCCCAAATTTTGTGTAGCTTCTTTTGTCATGGAAAATGGACTAAAAAGAAACTGTGATAACTGGGGCGTTGTTTTTCTAAAATAAACTGCCAACCACAGGTAAAAAAAAAAAAAAAAAAAGAATTGTGCATTTTATATTTATTTATTTATTTATTTTTTTTGAGACAGAGTCTCACTCTGTCACCCAGGCTGGAGTACAGTGACGTGATCTCAGTTCACTGCAACTTCTGCCTCCTGGGTTCAAGCAATTCTCATGCCTATGCCTCAGCCACCAGAGTAGCTGGGACTACAGGCAAACACCACCATGCCCAGCAAATTTTTGTATTTTTAGTAGAGACAGGGTTTCCCCATGTTGGCCAGGCTGGTCTTGAACTCCTGGCCTCAAGAGACCCGCCCACCTCAGCTTCCCAAAGTGCTAGGATTACAGGCATGAACCACCATGCTGGGCCAAGCAAGAATTGTGTATTTTATTATAAGTAAATTATGCCTCAATAATAATAATAAAATGCTATAACCAAATTATAATAAACACCTGGGGAGGGGAAAACATAAGACTAAAAGAGTTAAGACAAAACAAAGAAGGAAATAAGGCCCCAGAAGAAACTTCCCAACCTTTCTGAAAACCAAAACGTTTTCGGTATTTGGGGAAAGGGTAATTGACACTATTTGCCAGACTCTCAGTTAGACTCTTTCATATATTTCAACTTTATCTCCAAACTCAACAATGTCTGGCTAAACTCATACGGTAATGTGGCAAGATGAGCCCAGGGAGAAAGTAGGATAGCTGTGTGACAGGGAAGCTGGAGAGCCCAGATGAATAGCAGATTTCATTGTGTATAGAGTGCCTACTATGAGATAAAAGATGTAGGAGGGGCCAGGTGCAGTGGCTCACTCCTGTAATCTCAGTACTTTGGGAGGCAGAGGCAGGCGGATCACCTAAGTTCAAGACCAGCCTGACCAACATGGTGAAACCTCGTCTCTACTAAAAATACAAAATTAGCTAGGTATGGTGGCGCATGCCTGTAATCCCAGGATGGATTACAAGAGCGAAACTCCATCTCAAAAATGAATGAATGAATGAATGAGGGCTGGGTATAGTGGAGAAGGCAGACGGGAAGAAAAGGACATGAGAGAAAGGCAAGGAATACAGGAAATGCGTGAAAGAAGTTCTTCAGAGGCATGAAAACTCAGAAACCTGGATTCATTTCTGACTCAATCTTCTCTTCCACAGATTAAGGAATACATTTTCCAAAAATCAAACTTAAGAGGTAAAAACTCTGCCACAAAAATATTTAAAATGTATTGTGCATCAAACTATACACTATATTAGAGGGAAGTCATATACCTACTGTGTAGTGCTGAATTTTGTTTCAGTAAGCATGCATAATTTCATCTTTTTAACCAATTAAATTTTGGTTTTTTTGAGACCGAGTCTGTCTCTGTCACCCAGGCTGGAGTGCAGTGGCATGATCTCGGCTCACTGCAACCTCCACCTCCTGGGTTCAGGCAATTCTCCTGCCTCAGCCTCCCAAGTAGCTGAGACTACAGGTGTGCACTACCACACCCGGACACTTTTTTTATTTTTGGTAGAGATGGGGTTTCACCATGTTGGGCAGGCTGGTCTTGAACTCCTGACCTCAGGTGATCTGCCACCTCGACCTCCTAAAGTGCTGGGATTACAGGCCTTAGCCACTGCGCCTGGTCAACCAATTAAATTTGTTAAATCCAGTATAAGAGATCAGTGTTGATAAAAACCGAAACCTGGTTTTGGTGGCACAGGAAAGGCTCCTCACGCCTGTAATCTGTGCATGACACATCGGTAGGGATGAAGGGTGCTATCCATTCCCTCACCCAAAGGCCTGGGATTGCCCTTTCACCTCCTTAATCCATGGACAAAGCAGCCATAGACAATAACCAAAGTTCACAGCAGCCAGCCAGTTGGGGCCATACTTTGCTGACCTCTAAAGCAGTGGTACCTGCTTCTAGCTGCATATAAGAATCACCCCAGGGGCCCATAAAGCCACTAATGCTCCGGCTCCACCCTCCATATTCTGAATTAAAAAATAAAACAAACAAAAAAAACTTGCTGATTCTGATGTGCATTCTGGGTTGAAAACAGTACTTCTATTCTAGAAGTACTGTACATTGTAGCCTCTCAGGAAACTGCTAGAATTTTGCATGTGGGGAGTGCTAGGGGAAGCAGATGAATGCTGAGAAATGATGATCCAGGACTGAATTGAGGTCTAGATAAAGATTAGAACTGTTTTCAGTCCAACTGACACATTAAGTGCTTCCAATACTTTGATTAAATGTTCTTTATTTGATGCTTTTGTGTGCACAACACTATAAGGAGTTGCCCAACTCACCAAGTCAGCCCCTTCACACCCTTAGTTAAGATGGCCATTAAGGGGCCAGGGGGTGGCAATCAGTAAGCCGCCTCCTGCCTAACCCTCTTTCTCCAACCATTCTCTATAGGCCCCAGCATAGTTGCGAGCCCTGTGGAGATAAAGAAGGGTGAGAGACGGACAGGAATGACAGGTAGTCCCCATCACCTCCCAGCTAGCAGCCATACCTCCCCGTACCCAGTGTATCCAAGACTCCGGGCCAGTTGCATGGCCTGGAGGCCCCGCTTGCCCATCTGACAGAAGAAAACGAGATGCTCATCTTCCAGCTTTGGCTTCTCAGCAGAGTACAAAGCCTGGAAGGCAGCTGGCTCCATCTGCAGAGCACTCTCCAACTCGGACACTGGAGGAGTGGAGAGGGTAGAAGGGAAAGCCGGCAGTTTGGCACTCAGGTTCGGAAGCTGGGCCTGGAAAGGCTGGGTCCTGGGGGCCCCCAAACAACATATGATAGCCATCCCCTACCCCCACCCCAATTTCAAGAACCAGAAACCAACGACTTTTGAATGCGAGCCACTCCCCAAGCTGTGAGGAGGCGGGGCGGGATGCTCCCTCAGGCGTCCAGACTTGGGGAGGTCAAGAGAAGCTGGTCTGCCCCTCTCCTCTCCACCTGCTGTCTTCTCAAACTGGATGGGCCAGTTCCGATGCCAGGATCCGCCTCCTATCAGTCCTTCCCAGGAAGCTGAAGGCTGGCTCCCGGGAATGCAGGACCCCCATAATCAGTGCCTTCCCCATTCCATCCTAAATGAGGTCCCACTGGCAAAGACCCTCCTGAACGGCTCTATTCCACCACCTGGGCGTCCCCTCTCCACCCTATACCCGGGATGTTGAGCGCCCCTGGGATGGTCCCAGCTGCCGCCTCCTCCCGAGAGCGCACGTCGAAGAGTCGGGCCCGGCCGGAGGCTAGGAGTGAACGGAGTTCAGGGAGCGAGACCGTGGGCGCTGAGGAAAGGGCGCGACAGCCTTCAGGAGAAGGGGCCTAGGAGTCATGGCCGCCACGGTATCCCCTCACCTGGCAGCGCCCCTCCCTGGTAGGGTATGCACCAAGACCCCTCAACCACGCCCCTTCGCTCCCCCACCCCACTCCCTGCCACATCTCAACTCAGGGGGCCAAGAGGACCGCGGTCCCAGGCATCCCCCGCAGGTACCTCCAGCCATGGTGCGCGCAGCAACTGCGAGTCTCCGGAGTGCGGCCCCGGCCCGCCCTCTCGTAGCCTGCAGCATCTCCCACTCGCTCCCGGAGCTGAGACCGGATCCGGAAGCGAGGGCACCGCCTCCCGCACCGCCCCCGCAGCACCTGTTCACGGCGCCTCTAGCACCAGTCTACTGCAGAAGCCCTTAACATTCTCTAGCGTGGGCCAAAAACGACAGACCGGTCTGGCCCAGGAACCAGGTCTCCGGGTAATAAGTGCAGGAGCAGCACCCCACCCTGAACTTAGCACAGCCCTTACTGGTCAAAGAGCAATGCCCCTCCCTTCCAGCCTGTGGCCCCACAAAAGGAAGAAAAACAGACAACTGTGGCTTTGAACAATTTTATCCTAAAAAAAAAAAAAAAAAAAAAAAAAAAAGGAAAAGGAAAGAAAAAAAAAAAAAAAGACCCCCATAAGGGGGAAGGCCCCAAGTGGACCCCTGCCTGTTGTTCTCTCTGGCTTCAGAGACGTCTGCATAGGCCTCAGCTTCTCGCTGGCCAATCTCCTCTTCATGGGCACCAGCCACTGCTAAACACCCTTCCCCCACTTCTTGTGTAAGCTTGCTCCCCTGAGCCACAGGGTGCACCTCTAAACCTCAGCTCCAGGGAAAGGAAGAACCAATGGAAGTGCCAGAGTCCTGGGGCAAGCCAGAGCATCACCTGTCAGCAGACCTCTGCTGGGCACTCTAAGCAAGTACAGGACAAGCCCCCCAGTTTAGTGTGTCCAGTATCCAGCATGGAGGCAGCACATGCATTGTGCAAGAGGAGCACAAGGGCCCAGGGGTTGCATGGTGGGGGTGGGCAAGGCTGTCAGTGCACCTCCACATTGTGTGTTTCACACCACTGCAGGCTGCCATATCACAGGGCCTCAGTTCAAGGACACACCTTCTGAACTTCCCCCTGTCCCATGCCAGAAGTGGGCAGTGAAGGAAAGGGGCACAGGATTAGGCTGTTGCTCCTGGGCTATCTGCAGTTCTTGGGCCCAAAGCCCCTGAATCCCCATAGTTAGTTGCTGTCATTCTTGATGACGACCTCTAATCCGTGGTGCCGCAACTGAGCTCGAAGCAGCAGATTCTTGTTTTTAAGATCTTCCACCTGACAAGGGAAGGAGGCAGTAAAGGAATGGGTAGTAAAGTTGGCACTACCAAGCCCCTGAATGTATTCAGACATCCACTGGTAAGGGGAAAAGATGAAGCCCTCTCCATGGAGAACAAAGTAGAGGGTGTCAAACTGGGTCAGTGGCCAGCAGAGCTGAGAAGGGCTGCACTGGGGGTAGGAGTCTGACCTGTTGTCGAAGCACGTCATTGTCCAGCTGCAGTTGGTCAAGCCCCTGCAGTTCTTCAGACAAGCGGTGGTTACTCTGCCGAAGCTCCTGGATATAATCACAAGCTTTGGATAGAATCCCACCTTTACTCTGCAAGATAAGGTCAACAAAATCAGGACTAGGATTTCAGATACCCAGCTTGCTTTCCAAAAGTAGGTTCATACTTTGGACCTCATTTTCCTCTAAGGAAGGTGGTATAATATCTCCCAGAGATACAGGAACCTCAGGGAGAGATAAGACTACTGTCATGTGCGCCCCTCTTTCTACCATTTCTGGAAACAATACCAGGTGACAGAATTCAGGCATCCTGCCCACTACCAGGGTCTTTCCATGACCTGGCCAGACTTGGTGCTCTCCATGGAGCAGTCTGGGATTATCTTGGAGAGCTGCACGATCCAGTTGTTGATCTTGTCTCGGCGGCGGCGCTCCACTGTGGGGCAAAGTGGAGGACAAGGTGACTCAGTGAAAACTCGCCACAAGTCCCGGGGTAAAATTACCTAACCCTCCACCCCTCAGACATCACTGCTGAGATCACACCAGACAGCTCCTAGCTCCACCCGGATCATACCTACCTTCATTATGCTGAGCCCTGCGTTTCTCATCCCGAGTCGTCCGGGGAGCTTCTGACTTCCTGACAACAGAGCCCAGGGTGGCCAGAGTAAGAAGACAAAAGTACATGATTGGAGTTTGGGGTTAAGGAATTATACAAGATTTAGCAGGTACTAGGACCACTTATGGGTAGCTGGGTGTGTTGTCTCACACCTGTAATCCCAGCATTTTGGGAGGCCGAGGCAGGCGGATTGAGGTCAGGAGTTCGAGACCAGCCTGGCCAACATGATGAAACCCTGTCTCTACTAAAGATACAAAAATTAGGCCGGGCGCGGTGGCTCAAGCCTGTAATCCCAGCACTTTGGGAGGCCGAGACGGGTGGATGACGAGGTCAGGAGATTGAGACCATTCTGGCTAACATGGTGAAACCCCGTCTCTATTAAAAAATACACACACAAAAAAAAACCTAGCCGGGTGAGTTGGCGGGCGCCTGTAATCCCAGCTACGCGGGAGGCTGAGGCAGGATAATGGCGTAAACCCGGGAGGCGAAGCTTGCAGTGAGCTGAGATCCGGCCACTGCACTCCAGCCCGGGCGACAGAGCGAGACTCCGTCTCAAAAAAAAAAACCAAAAACAGATACAAAAATTAGCCAGGGGTGGTGGTACACATCTGTAGTTCCAGCTACTTGGGAAGCTGAGGCATGAGAAACACTTGAACCCTGGAGGCAGATGTTGTGTGAGCTGAGATCACGCCACTGCACTCCAGCCTGGGTGACAGAGCAAGACTCTGTCTCAGAAAAAAACAAAAAAAACAAAAAAAAACACTTATGAAATTTGAGAAGAAACAAGTGTCACTCACGGGGAATAAGGGTGAGTCCTAGGGGCAATTGAGCGCTGGCTTCCTCCCTGCAGTACTTCTTGTGGTGACATCATCACAAAGAATTGACCTGTGAAGATGCAGGGTAGGTTCTGTCAGGACATGGGTAGGAACCTCACCAAGCCCTGAGGTGAAGACCCTGGGCCCCTCCTCTAAAAAGAACATGTTAATAGAAGAGCAGCCCCGGACTCACTGCCTGCCCAGATCTTAATGATCACTAAGAGTCATGAGTGAAGGCTCACTGCCTACCAGTCATGTCTCACAGCCTATTCTAGCCCTTTCAGCCAGCATCCTCATGCAGTATCTCACCAGTGCCAGGAGGGGTCGCCTGCCCCAGCAGTGCCTCTGAGCCCTGGGTAGTAACAACAGCAGCTGTACTCCCCGATGTGGTACCCCCTGCCCCATCTCCCACTGCCGTGCTGGGGAAGTAAGTATAGTGCGTCTCAGCAGCTGTCCCCTCCGTGTCAACTGCATCATCACTGGTGAAAGCACCCTGGATCACCGCCTGAGAGAGAGAGAGAGAGAGAGAAACATCCAGGAAAGGAGAGCCTAGTGCTTTGGGACAAGGCAGCCCTAGACGCCTCACTGTTCCTAGCTTCACCCCCATCCTACTAATACCCTTCTTCATCTTACTTCTCAGAACTCTAGTCACCTCCCCAGCCCATACCCTGTACCTGGGTCATGGATTGAGTGGCAGGGTAGCCACTGATGGCACCAGTTCCCTCAGTTTGGCCATCCAGCTGCCCCTCAGACACCTGGATCACCCTGTACATCACCTAGAAGTGTAGAGGAAGGCAGAGCAAGGGAAAGAGAGAATAAAAGATTAAGTGTTGGGAATCCTAGGGCCCCTCATAAAGCTTCCCTTGGATAGGGCCCCAAAACAAAGTCCTTCAGAGACACGGATTGAGCCATTCTCCCTTCTCTCCCCACACAGAGGTTTCAGCATACACCTAACCTCACACCAGTCTCTACTCCAGTATCAGCACCCCCCTCCCCTGAAACAGTCCACTCTTTCAACTCATCCTCCAAGCCAGGTCTCCCCAAGACATGTTCAATTACCTCCCTCAATCCCAATCCCAAATAACACCTGCAGCCACCTGGCCCCCTCCCTTACCTGGCCCCCATTCTCAGTTCGGAAGACGTACTTGACGTTGGGGTCAGGGAAGGTGGCAGCTGACTGGATGCTGGCAATAGCCACACTGGTTGGGTCTTCCCCAGTAGCCACTGCACCTGAATTAAAAGAACAAAAGAAAAGTCTGTGAGTTAACTGCCTTTCTATCCCCGTTCCACGTGCATGTCACTGAAGGAGGAGGATGCACAGGAGATGGTCTGGTGGGGGAGGAAGGGAGGCCATGATGGGTTCTTAGTCTTGGTTCCGTCTCTAGCACTCACCTTCCTGAATCTGCACTGTCCCCTCTTCCGTTTCAGCTGTTTTCTGCTGCCTGTTTGTGGTGAAAGGACAAAAGGAAGAGTATGGGAAGAAGTCAATGAGAAGCTCACCAGCCCAGTAACATATGGCTGCAAACTCATTGGCATTCCCAACAGAAGCTGAGTTAGGTTAGAATAACAACTAGTGTTTGCTGTTTACTATGTACATAAGCACTAAGCTAAGTACATCACATGTACTCTTATTTAATATTAAAAACAACACCATGAGATAGATAGCACTACTTCCATTTTATAGATGAAGAAACCAAATCACACAGTAAGTGATAGAGTAGAACCTGAATCCAGGTCTGCCTGACTCCAGAGGCAGTGCTCTTGGCCATTTTGCATTCTTCCAGGCCACCCATCTTTCATCCCAGACCCTACCCCTTCTTCACTCACCCCTTCATCTCTCTGTGAGGGGGCACATCCGAGGAACTGGTCCTTTTTTGGAAGTCTTTGTATCTCCTATTCACAGGCCTGAGTGCTAAGTCCTGGTAGAAATCATGAAGTTTGCAGTGAGTCTAGGAAACAGAACAGTATCTCCGGTTCTAGAACTTAGGTTCCATGAACACACAGCCAGGAAAATAACCCAGTCATCTGCAGGGGACAATCAGCCTCCACCATACTGATGTTGAGGACTGGCCTACAGTGATTGAAAAAGCAACTCTACAAATAGTGTTCCTTGTCCCTCCATTATCACTCCAACTCCTGGTAGAGAGGGGATAATTATACTGGAAGACAGAAACAACGCTTTTTTTCGAGACAGAGTCTCGCTCTGTCACCCAGGCTGGAGTGTAGTGGCGCGATCTCAGCTCACTGCAACCTCTGTCTCCCGGGTTCAAGTGATTCTCCTGCCTCAGCCTCTCAAGTAGCTGGGATTACAGGTGCACACCACCACGCCTGGCTAATATTTGTATTTTTAGTAGAGACG